TGATGTGTGTGTGATGTGTGTGTAAGAATAGACTACACTTAAAGGAGAGTATCCATATTTTACTTACAATAGTCATTCTTGTGGAGGCTCCATAGAACTTAGAGAGAGTACAGGGATGTGAATGGATGTTGAAGTTACAGGAGGCCCTTTTTTTTGTATTTCTTATCATTTACTTCAACACAAGCTACCTGTAGCACTGATATACTTTAAAAGAAGTCACTTATTTAGTTTATCAGAAAGGGAGAATATTATATCATAACTGATGAGTTTGGGCCAACAATGCGGATTTGACACCTACAGTGATATTTTTATTGAAAGGGTTGGTTTTAATAACTTTTTATCCTCATTAGAGTCCAACATTACCTCAGGCTCTTTTTTTGCACCACGTCTTTGCATGTTTTGTACTGTACAAATGTACGCCATCCCAAAAAGACTTGGTTAGTTTCTTATTGTCTTACTTGATATCTCAGAGTGTTTTTGGTCTCACTAATGACTTGTTTTGGTTGTATGTAGTTATTGAGACTTAAAAGGGATTTGTGAATAGCTGATAGTTAACCTTTGTAGTAAATTGGAGGATTCCATACTGATGTTGAAGGGAATTATTTTTATACAAGTATTTGTATGTTGTTTAGTTTTCTATTTTTGGTTCTGAATCTGCCAATGGACAGAATAATGGATTGATTTTCTTAAGTTCACCAAGTTGCTGATAATTACTTTAGACCCTTTTTTTTTTTTTTTTAAGAAATATTTTGACTTTTTAATGTTTGTTTCCTTCGTTGAGGATCCCGTTTATGTTTTAAAGAGGTCACTGATGACAGTCCTATCACTTCTATTTCACCACACCCCGCTAACTTCATATGTTGCCTGCTGAATGACATGTCCCCTGATTTTACACTGTTGCCATGGACACCCCATCTCTATAGCAACTAAGGGCCTTCATAAGCTGGCAGGAATATACAGAGAAACATCCACTTGCTATGTTAAAGCCCACTCACTGCATTATGAATCATAAAGGACTTGTTTCCCCCCATCAACTAGTAATTGCATCTAATGAGATACAGTAATTGGTGTGCCATTAAGGAGTCCCATTGAGATTTGTCAGAAACTCTTATGGGATCCTATGCATAATGCTCTCAGTGTAGAGTGTATTTTCATTGGTATGCTGTGTTCTCAATAAAAAGATCCTTAACATCTCTTGTCTATTGTGTTACATCATTTAAACACTGTATTCCTTATTCATGCAATATCATTCAGGAGTACATATACATATATTCTATAGGAGTAAATGTGGTTTCATTCAGCAAGGGCTCTGTTGTATTGGGTTAATGCTGAAAAGATGGTGAAGAAAAAAGAAGATGGTGTGGAGAGACGCTGTGTTCAGACTTCTTTTAAAGCAGAGAAGTATGTCCAGCTCTTAGCTACTGATAACCTGATTCTTTTTAAGACTTACAACACATAAAGAGTTCATATGCAACAACCAGTGTGATTTATATTCCCTTGAGTACACCAAAAACATAGTTTTTTGCAAATAGAGCCTTCAGATCTACTTTTATAATCATTTAAAATTGTATTTAAAGTGCAACCCACCTCTCCTGTGTCTTTGTCTTTCTACTGACCCCTCAGAGATTTCTCAGTGTCGCTTTGTCCAGCGGACACATAAAAACTTCTCTGCATTGCTCCTGATTTGATTGGACCGTTTGTTTCTGAGCCCTCTGGCGCCCCCAGCGGTCCATCTTCATTAATGAAAATACTGAGCTGTGAGAGAGCAGCAGTTCACTGTGCTGCTCGCCTCCAGCTCGTCCTCGACTCCTGCACTACATGTTGGACAGACGAACACCAGACTGGGCTCTTGGTCTGATCTGAGGTAAGTGACACTGAGAATGGTAGATAATAATGTCTCTGTGGGCTTGTTTTCAGGTTTTCTTCCCTGTGCTTTTGTGTTTTTAGAGTCGCTTATTCTTTCTTTTCTTGTTATTAGTAATAGCTGCACTTTTGGCCAGATGCATTCACTGTTTTGCGTCATTTATTGATGTTTGCGTGTGAAAACGTTTCTCAGTGGGTGTAACTGATGAGGAACTATTTTAAGGAAATTAACAACATTTTAGGAATTTTTTAAAAAAAGTAAAAAAAAATCCAATGTCACAGAAACATTTAAACCTCTAAAGCCACATTTGCACTCTCCCTCTCTCTCTCTCTC